AGCTGACACGTTTTAGTCTTTCTTTCTACTTTTGGTCGGTAGTTCATACGAATTCCGATTTGAGGTATTTTTACCCTACGTGAATGAAATATATAATTCTGTAACAACCCCTTTCATAAAAATAAAATACAACGCCAAGAAAATCAGCGGGATGCTCGAACAGCCGTCTCCCGTGCGCGGCGCTGGAGGTTCATGGTTTCGAGTGAGAGGCAGGATACGAGCCTGAACTAACCGACACTGTGCTTTACTGTACGTTTGTACTCATACTTTTGTGTTGTAGCCAGGAGGAAAGAGCGGGGTGTGTCCACAGGGGTGAACTGGAAACAATGCGTGCATGTGTGTGGTCTCTACATCATCGATGCTTGCAGGCATGACTCCCACCGAGTCTTGCTGTCCTGTAAGACCAGCAGCTCCAGAGATACAGCGACATGAAAGTCCAGTACATGAAAACCTTGGTGAAACTGATTTAAACACACTGACACCCTCACAGCCACTGTCCCAGTCCTCCTAGTTGACCACAGTCTTTGACTGGCTGTAAAATACATGCACAACCTACAGCGATCACTCAGGAACAGGGGCTCACAGGCACTGCCTGGATTTTGATGCGTCTCATTTGCCACTATGAATGCTGTTTTGGCCTCATGCCACGACCTGATTCTAATGAACGCACAGATGCGAAAAGATGATCATGTGTTTATGTTATACTTCAAAATAAATTAAGGTATGAATGAAAGACTGTGGCAAAAAGACAGCTCTTCTAAGGGGTCAATTAAAAAAAAAATGTTAAAATGGGCTTTAGTACTGTCTCTTTGTTTGCAAAACCAGGAGGCTGATTCCTTAATGATAGAACAAGCTTGCTAACACTTATTAAAAGTGTAAGAACAGAAGTGCAATATCGGAAGTAGAGATAAATTAAACGCAGCAAGGGTAAGTGACATGAAACACTGCAGTTTCTGTCCAGACTAGTTAAACCACACTGATTTTGTTTTCCTTGATAACCACGCATGTTCAGCAATGGACAGATTGCAGGCATTAGCGGTCAGTATCTGATCAGGCTGACTGGTTTAATGCTGCCAGTTCTGTAAAATTACCCTTTGAAATAGTGAACCTGTCGAAGACACAGCGGGCATGCATCACTGATTGTGGCAAAGAGCGATTGGAAACTGGCACCACTTCGTCTTTGGT